TTAGCTGTTTTTCTTTCTAAGCCGGCAAAATACGGAAGACAGTGACCATCAATTAAGCTACTACCCGTAGCTGGATGTTCTGCACAAAAGCAATTTTTCCCCCCACTTATTCTTATAGCGAACCGCTACTGCTACCAGAGGCGGCACTGTCTCTAAAATAGAACGCTTCGGTGACATATAGTCATAATTTCCCATTCATAACTCTAGCTGCTCCGTTATTGATTGGTTATTTGGTCCCTAAAACGGAGAAATACTAACCTATTTGATACAAAACTGTCTTCGGAATAAACTATCTTTTCAAGAAAGGCAATTAAAGGAAAAGTTAGTGGATTTGCTAGCTGCGCGTTATTTAAAAAAAAAATCCAAACTACATTGCTTTGTCACAACATAATTCCTTGACTCTTTTTAAATAAACTATTATTACAGTACTTTTCTCCTTCAATTTCTCAAAGAGAAATGGAACATTCCGCTCCGCCCCTCCCTTTATTCGTCGCCATCTTGACGCCTCCTTTGCGCAGGAGTCGATGGCACAGCTTGTTCCGCGGTGGAACAAACCACGGAAAGGGAGGCATGGGGGGAAGATGGGGTGGGGCGATATATTCATAGCAGATGAAACTAATCGAACTATGTTGTAAAGGGGGAGTTACGGTTAGGATAGCTTGGGTAGGGAGGTAGACATTACTATTTGATAATAGATAGGGGGTGGGGCTCGGATCAAACTGATGTGAAAGGCGAGTTATGGTGTGGTGCCCGGTTCTCTGAACGGAACTCTTGCTTGTAACGAGGGGAAGGGTGTGTTCATGTGGGTGGTACTGTTGTGATTGGTGCGTGTGCATGTGCACCTGTGTGTATCTCCTATCTAGGTGATTTCGCTGAATTAGGTGGAGAGAAAAGAATAGAAGGACGGGTGATACCGTTGTGAACGCTTTTTATGGGGGGAGGGATACGGCTGATTTAATTGCAGTGGGACTGGTCTAGGTGGAAAAGGGAGGGCTGGATGGTACCATTTTGGGGAACTTATAGGGAGAATTAAAGAAGTACCTCAGATTCGAATGACATTCAACCGCGGTTGAGCAGAGAAGAATAGAAGTGGTGCCTTTAACGGCCCACTGTAATCTGAAGGTCGGAAAAAGACAAGAAGCACCACTTCAAGTTTAAAAAGGAATGAAGCTATGGTGATATAAATGAGAGGCTGGTTCTAGTGGTATCTTGCAAGTCTTGTGTCAAGTCTAACCAGCCTATGTACCAAGTGGTGCCATTTTGAGCTGGTACAAGTTCTGTCTTTAAAGAATGTGGAGGGAGAGTGGCTGAGTACTGAAGGAGCAGAAGTCTGAGCCTTTCCTTGGAGAGCATTTTGACATGACTGTCTGAGGTGTTGCCCAGGTTGGAGGGGCCTCAGGAGAGGCATGAAAAAACTCTGCTTTTAGGAGGCCAATATTTGTTTAGCAGCCCCCAGGACCCTCTCTCTGCCATGGCCTCAAACTGTACTGGAGGCACAGCGGCTGCAAGCGCTGGCGCAGCTATAGGTGCTGCGCTCAGTGCTTCCAAGACCAAGACAAAGAAGAAGCATTTCGTCTGCCAGAAAGTGAAACTGTTTCGAGCCTCTGAACCTCTCCTGAGTGTCCTTATGTGGGGAGTCAACCACACGGTGAGCAAGAACAACACAGTTCACCTCCCATCTCTTTGAACTTAAGACTTCTCAACTAGAGAGGCACATTCTGCCATTGAATATTTGTCTCTTCTTACAACCATTATGTAGCAACTCTTGTGTTGATTATTAGGTACAGGGTAAACATCTTTATTTGGGTATTTATAAGAATTCATATCTTGCATGAAAACAAATATTGGAAAATTGTAGAGAAAGGCATCGTTTTAAAATGGAGAGCAGATAAAAAAAAATTACAAAGGGGAAGCAATTCTGTGATTAATTAATTTCAAAGTCTTCGTCTATAGAAGATAGAGGTTCTTTACTATAATCTTTCTTCTCACACACCAGTAGGAATTTGGTGGGACTGGAGCATGTGGGTATGTGTATTTTACCTATTGACAACTTCTTTAAAAAGCTGTGCTTTTCCTGAACTTGATTTAAGGAGGAACATTTTTTGCACAATTTTAGTTTTCGAACGAACCAGGAGATTGTTTATTCAGAAGTGGACTATTGAGTTTAGGAACAGTACTCTATATAGAGGATTGTAGCTTCAAATCCTCAACAACAGGTTCTGGTTTTTTTAACCTATGTGTCATCTGGGTTCAGTAAATCCTTCCTGTTATAATCTTTACCAAGGATGAGTTTTGATTTTTTGTATTTTAAATTATTGCTTGCTTCAATAAACAATCTTCATAAAGCAGGAATGCAACTTCTCTAAGTTAAGAAGAGATAACAGATGATATTTTTTTCATTATCCAGAATAATACTATATAATTAAATATATATAAATATTATGATAAATCATTTTGTTGGAATCTGTCTGAATGTGGATTATCTCAGTTGTACAAAGCAATAAAAAAGGCTCTTGCCATTTCAGAGTCCAGGGACAGAACTGTACATATCCTAGAAATCTTAGTGAGCGTTGTCAATTAATAGTCCCAGAATATCTGAAAAGTGGCAGTTTAGAGGAAGGTTACTGAAAATAATTTACCAGCACTTCACAAGCTCAAGTTAGTAAGATGGTCCCAAAGAAATTAAGAATGTTTATTTCAAAAGTAGCATCCTGACAAGCCCTGTTGTGTATTATATGCACATATCTGAATGGGAAATTATGGTGTTGATGGACTACAAATCCCAGTATTTTTTATAATCAGTCATGCTTTCTGAGTTTGCTGAGAATATTAATTCAGCAACATCTGGAAGACCACACAGGCAGTTTACAATTTACATTTTTGTTGCTAAGGGATGCAGTCATAATGTAACATCACATGATTACATTGCTTAGCCCTGGTAAGCCTGGAAATTCCCATTGCTGTCATTAACTGAATTCCACGGGTCATTAGGTGAGGACCTATCCTGATCCAAGCCATTCCCAACTTTGTCCCTCCCATCTGCATGCTTTGGTAAGATAAGGGACTGCCTCCACTGTCTCCTCCTAAACTCCCTTCATTTGCCTGTCTTCTCCCCAATCTCTGCCCTTTTGGCTATCTGCCTACCCACTAGCTACCCCAACCACCCAGTTCTTACCCCTACACCATACATTGCTATAGTACGAGCCAGGGCCTTCTTTTGCATCTCCTTCTTTCAGGCCAGTGCAACCAAGACTTCTCTCACACCCCAGCCAGAGTTTCTATTCACATGCCTGGGCCTCATTCATGTCCCACCTGGGGTCTTCTTTCAGGAAAGAAGCCTGGCATGTGAAAGAAGACTTGGCTAGAAGGATTCTTTTTTGCCAAGGCTTTTTTTCATGCACCAAACATCTTTTACAAAGGGCTTTGGGTGAGACATGAGAGAAACCTCAGCTACAGTGGTGCAAAAGAAGGCCTTGGCCTATATAGCAGTCACTTATGGTATAGTGGTGGACATAGTAGTAGCAGATAGGGCCAGCTGGCAGCAGTGGGTAAGTGGGCAATTGTAAATTCAGATGGGTCCAAGTGGGCCCAAATTTTGTTCACATGACTATGGGAGTGCTTTAACAGACAGAACAAAGTCCCTTTGTTCAGCACCATTGTTGCTAAAGAATAGAAGTTAAACAAGATTTATCTGTAGGCGCTTAACTGTTCTAGTGGTTAAGGCAACAGGCTAGAAACCAGGAGACTATGAGTTCTAATTCTGGTTTAGGCATGAAAGCTGGCTTGTCTTTCAGCCCACAATGAGAGGATCAGGCAGCAAACCAGTCAATCAATGAGAGGATCAGGCAGCAAACCAGTCAATCATCACAATCAATGGATCAACACTGACTTGATTTGAAAAAGATGACCCTGCATTAGGGAAAACAAAGAAGAAAAAAACTCTGTAGATGCTTAAACGTGGTTCATGCAACTGCAATTGCAATAGGTTTAATTATTTAAAGTCACTGGTGAATATTTGCAGTGAATATGAATATTTGTGAATATTTGATGAATATTATTTATATGAACAAAGTGTTTTCTCCAAGTCACTTTATTTAGGTGTTTGTTTACATGCTACATTGTGACAAAAACTTTATTGTTATTGCAATAGCGATAAATATTATTGAATAAAAATGCCTGGCAATTAGAGTTGAATATATTTATCATCTATCATCTTGTTTAGTACTGGATGATTTCATATGATGGAAAATTTATTTTCTTCCTCATGCTAAAAATAACCAATATTGGTGCCAGAATTATTTCCATTCTGTGAAGTAACATGGTGATATTGTCCTGTATGTGAAGAGACACTGCAGTGCTCCTTGAAATTGATAACATCTAATTTATTTCCTTAAGTTTTTAGAAGTCCTGGCATTTCAATCCCTGAAATAAGGTAGCAGACAGAATATCATTTCACATGTTCCTTCAGCATAACACCAAGTTAGCTATGGCTTTGTTTCCTTCAACGTGGTTGCCCCTGAAGGATTGGCCTAAAATCAGTATAACCCCCTAGGAACATTATGAAGTTTAAAGTTCAAACAGTTACAGAATCTTAGGCAGAAGTCTTCTCACTTCTGAATCATAATTTTGGGGAAGTCTAATAGAATTTTAAGCATTTGTGCCTATCTCCCCCCCCCCCGCCCCCTGCCTCTCTGTGCTAGAGAGACCTCTAACCTGACCCCCTTCTGAATATTATTTTCTTTCCTTGGGCTTCAAAAATATTTCACACCTTTGGCCTTGTAATGGTTTTTACAAATTTCCATCAAAATTATCTTTACTGCTTGGACTAGTCCCTGCAGTTTTTTTGACAAGATTTTAGAAATGGTTTACTCTAGCCTTTTTCCTGTGGCTGAGAGAATGTGACTGACCCAAAGTCCCCCAGTTGATTTCATGGCTAGGATTAAAATTTGTGGCCTTCTGGTATTTAGTCTTTTGTCTTAACCATTATGTACACCAAACTGGCTCTCACATAGTACCTTATTTGTCTCAAATAATATTTTCCACATAGGTTATATAGTAGTTCAATACTCATGGGTTTGATTTATCATATGTTACGTGCATCTTACTGTGAAAATTCTTTCAAATTTACATATTGTTTCTTAGCTAACTTTATCTTCAAAATGCCTCTGAGAGGTGCTCTTGTTTCATCTACTTCCAATTTTGCTAGAGGGAAAGAAACCAGTGAAAAAGTGCTCATTGGCCAAATACAAATGTGTATGTAGTATAGCATATGAAGTTGAGAAAAAACAAACTAATAAGAAAAATAACATTTTAGCAGGTGCTTACCATACTTTCAAACACATCTTTGCATCAAAATACAATCAGATGATTAACTAAAGGTATGAGTGATTAAGACAGACCTGAAATTATTAATATAGATGTAAATAATTATCTGTCTAAAAATTGAAAAAGAGAAACAGTACACTGTCAAATTATACAAAATCATAACCTGGAGATAGCAACTGCTCATGATGATGACGTAGAGCACTCAGATAACTATGATTTCTTCTCTCAATAAATATCACTCCTTTAATAGAACTTCTGTGCTTTCTTGACCATATTCATTTAATGCTGAAACTGCCAGTAAATATTAGTGGGATTTATTGGCTCTACAATTGTATATTCCAACAATTCAGATGACTTCCTTTCTTTTTTCCCTCACATCCTGTTTAGATGTTGCATTTCTTTTGCAGATTAATGAGTTGAGTAATGTCCCTGTCCCTGTTATGTTAATGCCAGATGACTTTAAAGCCTACAGCAAGATTAAAGTGGACAATCATCTTTTCAATAAGTGAGTAATAAACATTTTTATTAAAATATACTCCCCCCCCATTCCCCATTTAACTTTAGTATCTGAATAGATGGCTTGTTATAAATATATAATGACATGAATCAAAATGTTGACATGAAAGAAAAACAACTAGCATGTTTCCCCGAAAATAAAAGCCAACCAGAAAATAAGCCCTAGCCTGATTTTTAACGTGCACCTAATATAAGCCCAACCCCCAAAATAAGCCCCAGTTAAGATCATCATCAGCCCGGGGGAGCGTGGCCAGCACAGAGGGCGGTGAATGCACAGGGGCTGACGGTGTTTGGCAGCAGCTGAAGCCCACACAGCACAGATGAGCCCAAGCTCTAAAACCACTAGGCCGGCCCTCCAAAGAGGCGCGCGGGGGGGAGGAGGCAGGTAATCCCGATGCACGGCGGCACCAGCAGCAGACAGAGGCATGGGGGGGCAGACGATCCCAATGCACTGCGCTGCTGCCTGTCCCATCGTGGCCAAGGGCAAACAGAGCTGGTGGAATGGAGTGGGCAGGTGGACGTGGGAGGCTCGTTCTCGCACGGCAGCATCAGCCGCCTACCCACTCTGTCTCACCATCTCTTGGCTTACCCATGACTCATCCAGATCACGTGCCTCCCCCTGCGCCTCTCCTTCCGCCTGCTGTTGATGCTGCTGTGCAAGGACGTGGCCTACTGCTTGGACAGATAATCAACTCACCTGTGTTGTGCAGGCTGCGCTGCCCCAGAGTGCACCAGCCAAGGGGCCAGCGGGCTCCATCTGGACACTATCAGTTCCCCCAGCCTTCTGGGCGCATGCCAGGGGTGGAGCGCCCGGCTGGGCTGATCACCCTGTTACCATGTTTCCCCGAAAATAAGCCCTAATGCCTCTTTTGGAGCCAAAAAAAATGATGAGGTCTTATTTTCGGGTAAACGTCGTATTATAAAAGAGTAACTTGTCTGAGTGTGCTCTATGTTCAGGCATGAATGGATATGATTGGGGACCACAATTCATTTTCTGATAAAAGCAGAACATAGAGGGTAAAATCCCTTCTGTACCAAATGTTTAGGCTACTCAAGTATTACTGTATTTGATGGACCAGCATATTTAAGGAGTTTCTTTCTCTTTATGCCTCCCTATTCTTTAGATCTGTTCTGTGTATCATGTTTGATACAGTGTAGTAGAAATCAAAAAAATAATAGATTACAATGCTTTGCAGAGGGAGAAAGTCATCAATGCTTTCTCCGATGCATCTCTCTGTACTTTAGTAGCTATATTAACTATTCATTGTGGTTTTTAAAACTAGCTAATAATTTGCAGGACTTTTTTATCTACTGCTGTTTTTATGATGCCTTTTGGAATTTAAATTCTTTTTTAGTTGTATATCTATGTCCTAATCCATTTTTTATTTTAAAATGCTTGTTGGAAAATTAGATTTTACATCTGGACAAACCTTGGGATTTGAATGTAGAATAGAAAGCAAGCTGACTCCAGTGTTAGAAATGTTAGGTTGAGAGAGCTGAGTTTGACAGATACACAATCATGCTGGTCCTTGACAGCAGACTTGAATTCAGAGAAGGATTGAAATATATAAACTAGGGGTGAAGGTGGCATCATTGACTCCTCCCTAATATGCTTTGAAGGAGACTTAATCTCAAGTACAACATGTTAACCTGTAGTGAGATTACAATTGCCAGGCAATCTAGATCAACTTTTAATAATTAAAAGTTTGTCCATTTTTTCCATTAATGCCATTAGTATAATTTGAATAATAATATGTATAGTTGGACAACAATTTTTTATGGCTCAAGAATATTTTGTAGATATAAAGAGAACTTCTTTTCTTCTTTATTTAGCCTATCATCATTTTAGCCATTGTGTATCCACTACAGGATGAAAGCTTCTTCCACCTGTTTCCAACCAATACAGTCCTGAGCTTCCTTTTGCCAATTGGGCCTGCAACACTTGCTAATGTTGTCGATCCATCTTGTTTTAGGTCTCTTTCGTGGATGCTTTTTATCAAGTGGGATCCATTCTATGATTGCCTTTGTCTGTCTGCCATCAGTTCTTGCTGTGTGACCAGCCCATTTCCATTTCAGTTCTTTTACTCTCTTGATGATATCGTATACTTTCATTTGTTCTCTAATCTATGTGCAGGTCTTTCTATTTCGTCTTGTAATTCTGAGCATGTATCTTTCCATAGCTTTTTGGATCACTCGTAGCTTTTGTATTTATAGCAATAGCGCTTAGACTTATAAACTGCTTCACGGTGCTTTACAGCCCTCTCTCTAAGCAGAATCAGCATGTTGCCCCCAACAATCTGGGGCCTCATTTTACCGACCTCGGAAGGATGGAAGGCTGAGTCAATCTTGAGCCGGTGAGAATCGAACTGCTGAACTATAGTCAGCCAGCAGTCAGCAGAAGTAGCCTGCAGTACAGCATTCTAACCACTGGGACACCACGGCTCATTGTGAGGTTAGTGTCCATGTTTCACCAGCATATGTTACAGCAGGTAACACACACTGATCGGAAACTTTTCACTGATGTTCAACATCACTGGGGGATGTTGTTCTTGAAAATTATGCTCAGCTTGCCGAATGTCTGCAATCACATTTAACACACAGTTCAATTTCCTTTATTGTATCACTTTCCATTGAGATCCATTGGCCAAGGTATATGTAGTGGTCTACTACATTTACTTCTCCAGATATATAAAAAATATTTCTTTGGTGAATTTATTAAAAATAACCTGGCTCTTTTTCAGGTTTATTTTTAAACCAAATAGTTCTTCTACTTTGTGCAGCTCTTGTATGTGTCTTTGTAGCTCTTCTGGGTCTTGTTAGAAGTGAATAACATCATCTGCAAATCTTAAGTGATTTAAATAGGCGTCATTGATTTTTATTCTATCTTTTGCCTAGTCTAGTTTGTGAAATAGTTCTTCAAGGCAGGCTGAGAAAAGGATAGATGTATTGACTTGTCGTATACCTTGTTCTATGTTGTTTTCCACTTTAAGATCATTAAGGCAAATTGTCACCATTGTTTTTTCATATATTATTGTGGTAGGTTTATGTAAGCAGTGTCTATGCCTTGATTGAGCAATGCATTAATTATTGCTTGCTAAAATACTGAATCAAATACTGCCTTTTTGTAGTCAATGAAAGCAATGCATAGAGGCATGGTGTACTCACTGTGCCTTTCAATGACTTTCTGAAGAACCTGGATGTGATCCATTGTGCTGTATCCACTTCTGAACCCTGCCTGCTCCTTTGGCTGTGCATCATTTAATGTTCTCAATATCCTTTTTTGCTATTATCTTGGTGAAAACCTTGTAGATGATGAAAGAAGGCTTATTAGGTGATGGTTCTTTAAATCATCTTGAGCCCCTTTCTTGTGTATAAAAATCACATTTTTCCATGCATCATGTATTTTTTCTTTGAGGCACTGTGACCACCAGCTTTCTGCATTTTAACCGTAACACAGTCATTTCCTGAAGCTTTGCCATTTTACATTGATTTTATGGCATTTTATTTTACTTTTTATATATTTTATTTTATTATTTTATACTTATTTTATGCAGCTTATCACTCATTATTCTGGTTTTTTATGACATCTTTATCATTTTCATATTCTCTTTTTGACAGTCTATCTTCACTTTAACTTGTACCATTCTATGGTCACCTCAAACATTAAGACAATTGATGACAGTACAATTGCAGAATATGGTTTTATTACTTGATATGATGTACCGTAGTCAATTTCACTTGTGTAACCAATGGATTCTTCCATGTCCATTTTCTGCTAGCTTTTTCTTGTAAAATAAGTTCAATATATAGTATACAGTTTCTGTACTTCAGCAAAATCTTCTAATCTGTCACCTGTATTATCTCATTTACCACTTCCATACGAGCCGGTCGCTTTTTCTCCAGGTATTGTTCTTCTTATTCTTGCATTAAAGTCACCCATTAGTATTTTGTATTGGCATTTTTCTTTGTCTTGAAGGCGGGTCACATCATCATAAAACTCTTTGGCCTTGTCATCACTATAACATATTGTTGGTGCATAAGCTTGGATGATTTGAAACTTGTATGGTTTGCTTAGTTGAATGATGCATTGGGTTACTCTGTCTGATATACAGTACTTTCAAATTTTACTACAAAGCCTTTTGGTTTTGGTTGATGAGAAAACCAACTCTGCCACATCATCCATCTTTGCAAATAGTACCTCTTGTGTAGAGCAAATGCCCAGTCCTATCAAGTTCAACTAAATTTTCACCTTCTTGATGTGTTTCACATAATCCAATGATATCCCAATGCATATTGTTGAGTTCAGTCAGCAGCTCTAGTCGAGCTTCCGTTTTCATTGTTCGAATGTTGACTGTTCCTATGTCTAAAGTCTAAAGGCAGCCTGATTTAACCCAGTGATTCTTAGCACCGACAGAGAATGAGGTGGCTGGATGGAGTCACTGAAGCAGTAGGCGTGAGCTTAAATGGATTCCAGAAGATGGTAGAGGACAGGAAGGCCTGGAGGAATGTTGTCCATGAGGTCGCGATGGGTTGGACATGACTTCGCAACTAACAACAACATAGTGTTTTAATTTTAAAAAAACGTAATTATACAATTGTGATTGTGGTGTTCATTCAGTCCAGTAGCCAATCCAGATTTTGACTCTATCCTTTATGCATAATGTTTTTCATGTAGTTTTTAAGCAAATATATTTATTTGTTTCTTAAGTAATCCCACTTTTTCTCTAGGTGTTCAACATGGTGTACATAGTACTTCTGCCAGTTTTCCCCACACAACACCTTTATGAAATAGGTTGTCTGAGAAAGAAAAATTGGTCCAAAATACCCAGTGAGCTTCCATGGCTAAAGCTAAAGATGATTTGATTCTGGATCTCCCGAGTCTTAGTCTAACATCTTAATTCTACCCCATACTAACGTTAGTCTATGTCATTTGTCCTCCATGGAGAAATAGAAAAAGAATTTTAACCAATTTGAATAAAGAATTTTAGATGTAGAAGCCTCCTAACATGAGAAGGAACTTACTTGGGCAAAGTAAATTGTCTGCTTTAATATTCATATAGAATATAACTTTTTATTACCCTTATCTTGCAGAAATGAAATGTTTTATAGATATTGACAGTATATTTTGTAATAGCTGATAAGGAAGGATCATTTCTGTCAAGAAATGCTAGAGAGATGAATCTTAGCTCTTTTGCATCTGGCAGTTGTACTACATTAGATATGTATTTCACAAGGCAGATTCCATGCTTGGAATCATTAGGCAACATTGCAAATAGAACTGTTACTATGGTGTAATAATGCCCTCATACAAAGTTTTAGTGAGAGTATACTTGGACCATGATATACTACTCTTAAGAAAAATATTTTAGACAAGGTGCAAAATAGAGCAAGCAAAACAACTAGGGGAACAGACTAATATCCTGTTGAGAAAAAACCACAGTAGTTCAAACACTTCAGCTTGGAATGAAGGAAGGTAAGGAGAAACATGATAGAAATATATGTTATTCGGTGGTGTTTAAAAGTTTGTGATTCTTTTTGAATGTTCACTGTTTCTGCAGAAATATGAGCTAAAAATGATCTGTTCTCCATCCAAGTTCAAAAATTAGATTCAGAGAGTCCAATTAAAGACCTTAGTTAAAAAATATTTAAATATTGAAAAAAGGTTTCAAATTTTTTATAAACCATTGTTGTAAAGTGCCTCAGTTATGTGAAAAAGGAGAAGTTTATATCTCATAGTTTCACTCACTGAAATTAAAGGCAGGAATTCAGATCCAAGAGACATAATCACGCAGGGCATAATTTGAAATTTGCTAATAATACTTGTGTTAATGTCAGTGAAACTGTATTAAAAATACCAGAGGATCAGAGGCTACTAATATTTATGGTTATTTATTACCTGCTGTATCATTGGCAGTGTACCTTAAATGGGTTTTAGGGAATTGACTGTAAAAGGATCTATTGCTTTTCAGTCCAAGCTTGTGAGCTTTCCAAATGTATCCAGATGGCTGATCCATCATGATTACCATTAGATTTGGTCTAATCCTCCTACTAGTAGTACGCAGAAGAGATTGTCAAATGTTCATCTTATGAAGGGAAAATTTTAGAGCTGATCATGAAAAGGCAAATGTAATTTGAAAGAAAAACAATCTTAAATTTAAGGTATTATCAAACTATAATTTATTTGTCTTCCTAAAGAAAATGAAGTGAAGAGACAAAAACTTATTTCCATGCTATATGAATTACTGAAGGCTTTCAACAATTTTGTCTATATATGTTCACTTATAAAATTAGCCGTTGGCCATAAATTTTAGTTTCTTTCCTAGTTTTTTAGTCAATATATGAGGTCAGAAATTCTACAACTGCTATTAACCAACTCATTTGCTATAATTAAACCTGATTAATCTTGCTCTAATGCCATAGTGGAACATGTATCAGTTTGCCTTTCTTTTTATTCTTTTATATTTTTTTTTAATTCTTAGGCCTGTGGGTTGGTGCCTGTACTGCTAACATTTATGCAGCATTAGCAGTGTCAGCATTAATAAATATAACTTCATTATAGAATAAACAGTCAGCAATCAATCACAGTTTTTGATTAGGCAGCCAATACTCACATACCCAACCTGATTTTGATCAAATGTCTTTGAACTGTTATGTTGCATTACAGTTCCAGAATTCCCAGACAACATGATCAGAATTGCAGCATATCTGGGAGAAGATTATGCTAGTGAAGTCTGAATTCATCATCACATAATGCAGATGCACATTTTTAAAAATAGTTATATGCAAAAAATTTAGAACTAGACATACAGCGTTAAGATCTCAATCATGCCATGTCTCTGAAGAGCTGTCTCTGGGTTGGCTTGAGGATCAAATACGAGAGTTCCACACTGGAGGTGGCTGCTAGATTGATGGCAAACTCCACCTACCCTCCCCCACTTGCTCTCTACTCTCCAGCCATCCATCTTTTTAGTTATCATATTGATGTATTATTCTCATTGTGTTCTTTTTCATTGTTTATTTTATTATTCTATTATTTTACTTTTGTTCTGTTTATACTTCCATTTTTCTTCCTTTTTATTATTGTAAGCCACCTAAGATAGCCTCATGGTGAGATAGGCAGCAAATATATTTAACAAATAATAATAATCTAGGATGTATATTTAAAATCTAGTATGTATATTTAAAATTCACACCCTACCAACAGTATCAACAGTAGAGTTTGTAGATTCTATTATCTCCAAGGACTTAAAATGGACACCCAACATTAGAACCATCATTAAAAAGGCACAGTAAAGAATGTTCTTCCTGTGTCAAATCAGAAAGCTCAAACTGCCCAGGGATCTGCTGATACAGTTCTATAGAGGAATTATTGAGTCTGTCATTTGTACCTCAATAACTGTCTGGTTTGGCACAACAACCAAATAGACTTCAATGGATAGTAAGGACTGCAGAAAAAATGATCCCAACCAGCCTGCCTTACATTGAGGATTTGTATACTGCACGAACCAGAAAGAAGGCTAAGAAAATATCTACAGATCTCTCACATTCTGGACATAATTTATTTCAACTTCTCCCCTCAGGACACCACTAAAGAGCATTACATGCCAAAACAACCAGACATAGTTTTTTTCCGCATGCTATCACTCTGCTGAACACTTAATTCCCACAGCACTGTCTCATTTCTCATCTTTTTTCATGTTCTCATCTTTCCTAATATCTTCTCCTATTGGTTTCTTATGGTTTATCAATTGTTGTTTATAACCTATGATTAATGATTGTATTTATTATTATAACCTATTACTTGCTGTTCATATGTGAGATTAATGTACCAGAGACAAATTCCTTGTTTGTCCGATCACACTAGGCTAATAAAGAATTCTACCCTATCCTACTCTATCCTATCACTGAATCACCAATTCTTTGTGGCTACTTTCAGAGAGAATCTCCCAAGCCGCTTCAAATTTAAGGAGTATTGTCCAATGGTATTCCGAAATCTCCGGGAAAGATTTGGGATTGATGATCAGGACTATCAGGTAGAGAACAAACTTTTTATTGAGATATGTCAATTATATGAATAATTGAGGTATGAAAGTATTTCTGGTTTTGTGGTAATTAGAAATTAATCTTGTGCTACAATAACTGGTATCAGTGAATCAGACTGAATTATTTATTATATTGGTTGCATTTATATTTTCCTCCAAATAGTTGTGTATTTGAAATATACCAGGCAGAAAAAAATAGGAGATAGGACATAGGTTTGGAGAAGGGATGATAAAGATAAAAGTATGAGTAAAGAAAGATACAAAAGAGGGCAGCAGAAACTTATACTAAAGATTAGATATCGTATGTAAAGCAGAGTTCCCCAACCTTTCTGGCTTTGTAGACCAGTGGGTGAGAGGGAGAGGGAATGGTTCTGTGTGAACTGTGAGCAAGTGTGTGTATGTGTGCGCACAGCTCCATTTGTACAAGCGGCAGGCAAGTGCACCTGCTACTTGTGCAAATAGAGCATGTGCGTGTGCTTGCCTGCTACTCACAAATGTGGGGATGTGCACACGTTCACCCACTACTTCTACAGCCTGGTTCCGAATGGTTCAAGGCCACCGGTAGTGGGTTGCAGCCCAGGGGTTGGGGACCCCTGATGCAAAAAACGGTTTTTTATGCACAGAGCAAACACATTGTGGCACAGAGATTTAGCAGAACCATTTTGAGTGGGCTGAGTTCAACCAAATTAAAATCTGGAATATTTTGTTTTGGGTTACAACCAAAACAAACTAAGGCCTGCAGTGTGAATAGACAGAGGCCTAGAACCTCCCTTTGCTCTCTTTAATTTCCTTCTCCACATCATCTATATGCTAGCTTAATCGTCAGTCTTCCTAGCACTTTTCTTCCCCATACCTCCTCTTAATTGTGATCTAGTATTAAATTTTTCATTGACATTTAATTAGGTGAGATGATACATCGTAGAGGAATAATTTTAAATCAAATAGGCTAACTTATAGAATGTGTCCAAAATCTGGCATTTCCCAGGGAATGACATTTGGGAAAGTTGTGGCTACTTCTATGGTCACATGATCTTTTATTTGTGATGTTCTGTAACAGTTTCCCAACCAGTCTTGCAATCTCTTGTTCCTTTTCCCACTCACAGCAGCTACTTACCGGCCTGCTGGAAGGGAAGGAAATGGAAGGGAAGGAAATATTTCCAATGGTCCCTGCAAGATTACCATTAGGAAACTAATTCCTACTCCCTCTGTTTTTTGTCCTCTCTTTCTTTTTCTGTGTCTAAACAGATACACAGAAATATGGGCTATGGGTGTCTAGTTTCATACAAGTGTGGCATACCCAGTTGGTCTGCTCTTCTCTTCCCCATCATTTCCCAGTATGGATTTTGTTCTCTTATCTCCACACAGAATTCTGTGACCAGGAGTGCTCCAGTATACAGTGATAGCCACGGGCGGTGTGGAGTTCGTTTCCTTACCACCTATGACCGGCGGTTTGTCATCAAGGCAGTTTCAAGTGAAGATGTTGCAGAGATGCACAACATTCTAAAGAAATATCACCAGGTGACATATGTGTAGGAAGAAAGTATACTGTTTTGATGGACATTTTAGTAGATGCTCATATTTTGGGGGACCCTTCTACAGAAATTTTCCTATTCTCCGAGCAAGAGAGAAAGAAGAGGCTGAAAAAAAAAGATTGTTTCTGCCAGTTTATGAGATTATTGTAAGCATAACCTATGAGTTATGCTGTGCTATTTTTATTTAGAAGAGACATCAAACACAGCTGAGCCCAGAGTTTTTTTCCTCAATTTCTTTTTCACTTTGCAGTTACTGGAAACAGCTCCCATAATTAACATATTTTGTGATGAAGAAGCAACATTCCAAGAGGAGGAACTGGGATCTCAAAAGAATAGCTCCATTAAACCATTTTACCACCCAAATGTACAGATTTTGTTTTGTATTATGGGGATATTTTTTCTTTATCCTGAAATTTATTTTATCCTGAAATTTATTTTATTTGCATTTGTTTTCTCTATTCAGACATTCTGGCTGCATTATCAAAGAGTTCTAAACCAATAGGTTCTCTTGAATAACTCTTAGGCTCGTACTTGAGTTGAATGGAGGGAGATTGGTCTATTCAGGACAGTGGAAGCTTTAGGTCAATAATCAGAAGATCACCTAATTGCAGAAAATGAGTTTCTTCATGATAACTGAAGAGATACGACCTTAGAAAAATGTGGCTAGAATAATTATTTTCTTGTCATTATCAAATTTCATTCTGGTGAAATAAGGCTCAGAAATGTTTTTTATTTCTAAGATTAACCTTTATAGCAAAACAATTATGCTTTACCAATGTCATATTTCTCTTTGTCCTTTTGATTTCATTTATTAGAAATAATTTAGTATATCAGGTTATATTATGAAATATTGATACTTTTAAAAAGTACCTGAAATGCCCTTTTAAATTTTCCTTCTGTAGCAGCTCCAAAAACCTCTCCATTTAAACTACGCTGGCAGCTTTTAGACTACGTTAATTGGTTATATATTCTCTCCTTTTTTTCCTTATTCCCTTCAGTTCATTGTGGAATGTCATGGGAATACACTTTTACCCCAGTTTCTTGGCATGTATAGGCTTACAGTAGATGGTGTGGAAACCTACATGGTAGTCACCAGGAATGTGTTTAGTCACCGGTTGACAGTGCATCGAAAATATGATCTCAAGGTAAGCATCTCCGAAGTTCAGCAGTATCCTGGCCTCAAAAAAAGTGCATGCTTGTAAGTTTAGAATCATAAGTAGACACTTGAGTCTTGAAATTGTGAAGAAAGTAAGGTATCATTTGAAAAATACTATTTCTGTGTACTTCACATAATCCTTGACTTACAACCATTTGTTTAGTGACCATTTGAAGTTACAATGCCACCCAAAAAACTGACATGACCATTTTTCACACTTGGGGCCATTGCAACATCCCCATGTTCACATTTGAATGCTTGTCATTCATATTAATGACAGTTGCAGTGTCACCTTTTGTGACCTTCTGACAAGCAAAGTCAATGGGGAAGCCAGATTCACTTAACTGTGTTACTAAATTAACAACTGCAGTGATTCACTTAACAACCTTGGCAAGAAAGGCCATAAAATGGGGCAAAACTCATTTAACCACTGTCTTGCTTAGCAATGGAAATTTTGCACTCAATTGTGATCATAAGTCAAAGACTATCTTTATGTTCATATGATTTGGTTTCCTTGTATAAGAATGTTGGCTTTCTCTGAGGGTTGAGTCCAGTAGACCATGGCTAGACTAAAACCTGCATTCTGTGCTGGAAGAGGAAAGCTTCACCACAGAGTTAAAAGGAAAAAGATTATTTCCAGACTTGCTGTACAAAATGAGATGTGGTGATGTTCACTAGTTGTATCGAAGTGTTTTTAGTTCCTGTGATTTGCTAGTATAGTAACCAAATTTGGTATTCCCCATCTCTTTCCAGAGATTGGGATTGCTAAGAGACATTGGAGGCTAAAGTAAATATTTTGTTTTGAATAATTGTGACTTCTTCAGAAATTTTTAGACTAATCCTTTGGAACTGTTTTGGTTTCATGGAATCTCATGACTGTTTGCAAACTTCTCTTAGCATATAATGCAAAGAGTAGCTGACAGATGTGAAATATTATTGCATATATTCCTGCACCACACATCCCCCAAAAAAGCATACAGTAGTGCATAGATGTGCTTGATTTCCTAGATCAAACACGGTGATAGTTTTAAGGCAATTAGTTTTTGATTCATTAAGATGAGAGAATCCAGGTGTTTTAATATGTTGTATGAACCTGGCTATCCATAGAGTTATAATGTGTTCATTTATTGGACATATTACAAATTGCATCAGTCTTCACATAAAAAGAAATTACAGCCCAACATACAAAAAAAAAACACTGCAAGAGACAAACTAGAAATAAAAATTAAAATAAGCAAGAAAATTGTAAGAGAACCTATCTGACCTTGACGAATATAAATCACTGGGACCCGACAGATTACATCCCAGAGTTTTGAAGGAGCTGGCAGATATTATCTCAGAACCATTGCACCATATCTTTCATAAATCCTGGAGAACCGGGGAAGCACCTGAGAATTGGAAAAGGGCTGATATGGTTCCCATCTTCATGAAAAGAAAAAAAAAAACGGACCCAGGAAACTACAGACCAATCAGTTTAACATCAATACCTGGGAAGATCCTAGAAAAGATAATCCAAAAATTGATCTGCGAACAACTAGAAGCAAACAAAGTTATAACCAGTAGCCAGCACGGGTTTGTTAAACACAGATCATGCCAAACCAATCTTATTTAATTCTTTGATAAAGTGACTAAACCAGCAAAATGCTGTGGACATAGTATACTTAGATTTCAGTAAGGCATTTGATAAAGTAGACCACAATCTACTCTTTGGTAAGCAAGAAAAAGGTGGAATAGACTACATCACCACCAGATGGATCTGTGGCTGGCTGGCAAACCATACTCAATGAGTAGTCCTCAACGGCACTACATCCACATGGAGAGAAGTAAGCAGTGGGGTACCACAAGGTTCCGTCTTAGGCCCAGTACTCTTCAATATCTTCATAAATGACTTAGATGAGGGAATAGAAGGGGAACTCATCAAATTTGCAGATGACACCAAACTGGCAGGAGTAGCCAACACCCAGAAGACAAACTCAGGATCCAAAAAGTTCTTGACAAACTTGAACAATGGGCCCTATCCAACAAAATGAGTTTCAATGTGGAGAAAAACAAAGTTTTACATTTAGGCAGGAAAAACCAAAAGTACAATTACAGATTAGGCGAGACCTGGCTCATAAAAAGTAACTGTGAGAGGGACCTTGGAGCCCTAGTGGATGATCACTTGACTATGAGCCAGCATTGTACAGGCAGCAGCAAAAAAAGCTAATAGAACCTGGGTTATATAAACAGGCATAGAATCAAGATCACGCAAAGTATTAGTACCGCTTTATAAAACCCTAGTAAGACCACACCTGGAATACTGCAATCAGTTTTGGTCACCATATTACAAAAAAGATGTTGAGAGTTTGGAAAAAATTCAGAGAAGAGCAACTAAGATGATTGAAGGCCTGGAGACTAAAACATAGGAAGAACGGCTGCAGTACTTGGGTTTGGCTAGTCTAAAGAAAAGAAGAAATAGGGGAGACATGATAGCAGTATTCCAGTATTTGAGGGACTGCTACAAAGAAGAGGGAGTCACGTTATTCTCCAAAGCACTAGAGGGCATGACAAGAAATAATGGTTGGAAACTGATCAAAGAGAAGCAACCTGAAATTAAGGAGAAACTTCCTGGCAGTGAGGACAGTTAACCAGTGGAACAGCTTGCCTCCAGAAATCATAGGTGTTCCATCACTGGAGGTTTTTAAGAAGAGACTAATGAGTCCCTTGTCTGAGATGGTATAGGTCCTCCTGCTTGAGCAGGGGGCTAGACTAGAAACCCTCCAAGGTCCCTTCCAGATTCTAATTCTATTCTATTCTATTCTATTCTATTCTAAATGTAGTAAATCTGGATAAGATTTAGCATGTTCTTTGAATCCTGCTGATCTGTCTCTATAAGCATTCTGCCTTCAGCCGTGGAGAGTACATGCCTTCTTGGGGGAGAGGATGATGTGATCCTCATGGAGCTTTGTGATCCATGATCATCACTAAGAAAGTGAGAAGAAGACTGTTGATCTTCAATAAGTTGTTTCTAAATCATAGAATCATAGAGTTGGGAAGAATCTCAGAGGTCATAGATCTTTTTCTGTGCAGCATCAGTTAAAGCTAACATAGTAAAATTGACTTAATATATTCAATTCTGGGGAGTGAAATATTTTCCCAGATACAATCTTTTTATGGTTTAAATGTTTAGAAAATAAAAGTAAATAAGAAAGAAAAATGCACTAACTTTGCCCTTAATTGATAGATGCATAATCAGGATTTTTTTTAAAAAAGTTTGGCTTTAAATAGATAATCACTTCTTATTTTTTACTTTCTCCTCCAGGGTTCAACAGTAGCAAGAGAAGCCAGCGACAAAGAAAAGGTAAAAGTTAAAGAAAGATTTAAAATAAAAATCTTTGTGTTTTGAATATAAACCTATAAAATGTTACTTTTGTATCAGTACTTCTAACAGTACTTCTATTTTTTTGTTTTAAAAAGAAACTGCATTTTTTAAAAAGGCTGTATTTGATAATCAAAATCATATATAAAAATATCAAAGTTTAATAGAATCTGGCAGTAATACATAACATTAGCAGCTTGATATAATATTAAAATAAGTGTTAATTAGTTCTTAAACAATTAGTGCTTATCAAAATAAACATGTTTTTATTCTGTATGGCTTAAGCTCTTGTTTGGGAGTAGAATATTTGTTCTAATCCAGGATGGGATATCCTTTTAGTGTTTGAGAGTTGACTAAATGCCATTCAGACGTCAGTCAAAAATGGATATCCTCTCTCCTTCCATTTCTCCCCTATACATAAGCATGTAAGCCCAGGCATACATTTAAACATGCAGGCATTGATTGTGGTTCCTCAATTATAAAGAAAAAACTGCCAGCGGGTCTGCTTCTGAGACTCCTCAAAATACATTTATTCAGAGATTCCTCTTGTTGGGATTGGGAGCAATACAGACATAGTAAGCATGAACCAAAGGCAGTTTAAACAGCATTTTTCTCTTTGGACTTTCTCCCTTTCAGGTAGTCTTCAACTTATGACTGTTCATTTAATAGTGGTTTGAATTAGCGATGGCCATGGAAAGGATACTGTCCTAACCATCGCAGTGCAAGTGTCTCTCTGCTCAAGGGCTGAAAATACTGCTTGGATTTCAGCAGAGAGGATTTTCAATTTCGGAGCTGAGAGACACTCACATGTGGCCTGCACTGGAACTTCTAGGGCTCCTCTCATGCCCACAAGGCAATCTTACCTGGGATTCTGTCCACTTAATCACCTGTGAGATAGCTTAATGATAAAAACCAGGAGTACTGAAGCTGCAGTCATTGAGTGAAGCAATGAAATGACCTCTTGCTTAACAGCCACTTTGCTCAAGATTCCAGATGTAGTTGGTCATAAGTCAAGGACTATCTGTAGTATAAATTATATGGGCACTCAAAATTATTTGCATTTCACTTCTTACGTCACCATGAATACAGTGTCAAAACAGCTCTAGAAGTCACTCTGGACTCTCTAGTTGAGACAGAACGTGGAAACAGCAAGTACTAGCAGTGAAGGAAAGCACAGTTGGAAGGAGTAAAGTAGAAAATGGCAGAATTGGAGGGGAGATCTGGGGTGCACCTTGAGGGGACCATTGAAGATCTTATGTTGGCTGAATGCTACCTATAAGCATCCATGATTGTAAATGTCAAGAGACAAAACAGTATTTATCCCTTCTCTTGCTATTTGAACTTCTAATTGTGTTACTGTTGCCTCCATATCATTTAATGAATTATTTGAATTAGATTGATTACTAGATGTATCCATGCTCTGCCCCATTCTCTTTTGCCCCAGTTAATATTAGTGTGATCCCGTAGCATATAGACCCTTAACTGACCTAGTTCTTTGCTTCATGAACCCAATCTTTTTTTTAATAAAGAAAATGCTTCAATTATTATTATTGTTTTATTTCTTTTTTGCAACATCATTCTGAGGTGGGGCAGCAAGGCTTCGAACATTAAAGAATAAAAACATTGAAATACTATTGCACTGTTGGGCATAAGCAATCTAGGCAGCCAATAGGGTAGGAGAAAGATGATATATGTCATAGAAAGCTGAACCTGAAGTTAATACTATAAGCAGAGAACGAGCCTTTTCAAGAGCAATAAATGTGTTTCCTAATCACCTAATTGGTGAAAGAGAGCCAGTTTAGTGTAGCGGATAAGGCACCAGTTAGAAAACATAAGACCATAAATTCCTGTTCTGTCTTAAGCACAAAGCCAGTTGTGTGACCGTGAGCCAATCATTCTCTCAGCCCTAGGAAGAAAGCAATGGCAAATCACTTCTAAAAACTCTTGTTAATAAAACTGCAGGAACTTGTCCAACAATAACAACAAAAACTGCTGAAAACAAGGACAAGACTGATTGTTGTCCTGAGCTAGGAGTTTTACAACCCTTCTGGCTATGGGAAATTACCGTGTTTTCCCCAAAATAGGACCTACCCCGAAAATAAGTTCTAGCCTGATTTTCATGCCTGTGCCAATTATAAGCCTACCCCGAAAGTCAGCCCTACTTAAGAGCCTGTGCAGCCGTCCGCCTGGCCACTGTTTGCTTGCTGCCGACATAAAGTGGGGGGGCCCACGGCCACAAAGCGAGGAGTTGGGGAGAGTTGAGGACGAAGTGAAGTAGGGGTGCGGTGCTGCCCCACGCGCCCCAGACCGGCTGACAGGGCCCCGCAGCCAGGCCATCAACGTGCCGACAACAGCCTGGCCTCGCAGCAGTGGCTCCAGCAACCCCATGCAGGATCACCGGTCCACTTTGCCCTCCATCCCACCACTGCCTCGCTTAGTATCTGCAGCACCGGTGCATCACTCAGCCTCCTGCTTTGTTGCAGCAGTGAGTAAAAAGAAGTGGCCCAGCAATCCTGCATGGGGCTGCTGGAGCTGCCGCCGTGAGGCCAGGTAGTTGTCGGCACGTTGATGGCCTGACTGCGGAGCTCTTTGTCAGCCCGTGCGGGGCGCATGGGACAGCTCTGCACCCCCCACCTCGCTTCATCCTCCACCTCCCCACTGTCTTGCTTCGTCATCCATGGTGCTTATTTTGGCAACCCAAAAAAATATAAGACCAGGTCTTATTTTCGGGAAAACACAGTGTGTGTGTGTGTGTGTGTGTGTGTGTGTGTGTGTGTGTGTGTGTGTGTGTGTGTGTGTTCAGAATGGATGACATCATCCAGGAATCCTAAAGATGTCCTTACTATGTAGCCACATCAGATCAAAGAACATAGGTCAGGAAGATGAGGAATTGTTTAAAGACAGTCCACCATAGTCAATTTAGTATAGGTGTGGCAGGAATTGCCCTTAAAAGTTTCTTGTTTTTATCATGTATATACCTTCCTGAAATCTATGTGGCTTTGGTTCCTTGGTTTGCCAGCTGTGTGAGGCTTGACAACAAAATGGAAAGACCAATTCCTAGGAGGAGTCTCTTTTTGAAATGCTTTCTTCGTCTGGGTTGTGTTGTTTTTCTGACCTAACCTGCAGTCCTTCTCTACTTCCTTCCCACAATCTCTCACAAACTTTTACTTTTAGCCCAGCAGTTTGCCATCAATATTTTCATGTTTTTTTTTATTATTTCCTCAAAGTTGATGGAATTGCCTTTGCCCCAACTTCAGCAAGCAGTATATTGAGCTGTTTTGGATTGTATAATATGGAAGCAATGTTTTGCACTTACTTGAGTTCAATCCTTCTCTCTAGGCTAAGGATCTACCAACCTTTAAAGACAACGATTTTCTAAATGAAGGCCAAAAACTCCATGTTGGAGAGGAATGTAAAAAAAATTTCCTGGAGAAATTGAAGCGAGATGTTGAGGTAGGGTAGCTAAGCTGTTGATTTTTGGGGAATCGGGCATAACTAAAAAGTGGGATTGACAGAATCTCCTCTGTTACAGCTAGATACAGTAGAGATATCTCCTCTGTTACAGCTAGATAAAGTAGAGATATCTGGTTGATTCTGTCTCAGACTCTAAAGTGAATTTAAATTAATTTGAAAATCTATTAGAAAAAGCAGACAGAGGAGTTTATTTTCCTGCTACTGTCTCTTGCATTCACTTTGGGGATTTCCTCCTTCATCTTACTCAAGAATAACAGAGTTTTCCATAATTTACGATCAACAGAAATGAGTGTTACTCCTACCAGTTGCAGAAGGAATCTATGGTGCCTTCTCTGACTAACAAGCTTTGTTGGATTGTTTAATCAGTTTAAATTTAAACAGAATGCAGACCTCAAAGTGCAACAGATCTTAAAATGACCATTTTGGAAAGGTTCAGGATCATTTAAGTGAGAGATTGTTGAAGTCATAGATACCAAAAAGTTTTAGGCAATATTTCTACAAATATAATGGTTTCTTTAGCATATTACAATTGTTAATTGATTAGGTACTTGCAGTCTAATATGTAACCTGCACTTTCATAACTAACTAATCTTCCCTTCCACCTCATCCCATTTTAAACCCTACATCATTCTAGCCATTCTATGCAAAGTTGCAAAGTCACAAAAAATTATTAAAACTTTTAATAAAATATGTTAGAAAATGTGCCACCATTCTCCTAATTAGTTTGCCACCATCAACTAAAAATATACCGTATTCCTTCTGTAACTCTGTAACCCGAAGAATTCCAGGTAATCATATAAAAATGCTTTGAGATTTATGGCACTTAATATTTGGACCTGGTGCCAAGTTAATGAAAGATAGTTTAACTCAAATCCCAGAGGTGATAAAGAGACATTGAAAATGAGAAGAAATATTTTTCTGTTGGCTTCCAGTTTCTTGCACAACTGAAGATCATGGATTACAGTTTGCTGGTAGGGATTCATGATGTTGATCGAGCTGAGCAAGAAGAAATGGAAGTTGAGAACCGGGCAGAAGATGAAGAATGTGAGAATGATGGCATAGGTGGGAATCCAATTGGTTCCTATGGTACGCCACCTGACAGTCCTGGTAACCTTCTCAACTTCCCACGTTTCTTTGGGCCTGGGGAGTTTGATCCATCTGTGGATGTCTATGCTATGAAAAGCCATGAAAGTAAGTACTGGGATCTGGATGTTGATGGTGGGAGTGGAAGATAAATGTAAAATTGTCTGTGAAAGCCAAGAGTCTGATTGTAAGCATTTATTGATACATGGTGGTTATTTGAACCAACATTATTTTCTCCACTTTCTTGGAAATCTTAAGACTGACTCCCTGAACTACAGCAGTGTATCCAATAAAGGTGCCTTAATTACAGACATCCCAGTTTAATTTTCCCTATAGTGTATAGCCACTATACACTATACAATATAGTGGCTATAAGGGTAAGAGTGTCTATTTGAGAGCAAGGTCAGAGATCAGACAGGGCTCATCTATATCCTGAAAGAATTTAAAGCAGGATCAAGAATAATTTGCAACACAGAAGGGTTCTGTGATAGAGAAGATAACTTGGATGTCTTTTCTAATATACAAATGTCCAAAAGATCTTCATGCCCTTTAGCTTTGTCCGTTTTTCACTATGCCTACAGGTAGTCCTTGATTTACGACCATTCATTCAACAATCATTTGAAATTATAACAGTGCTGAATTAAATGATTTACAATCTGTGCCCAAAGTTATGTCCATTGCAGTTCCCCTGTGGTTAATGTGAACAAAATTTGGTAGCCTGTTCACAAATATGACTCCAAGGGACGGGTATAGCTCCCTTCTTACATATATCTATCTCCCCCAATCTCTATAGCCCGCCAGCACACGAAAACCTTCCGCAGCCCTGTAGGCCTTGATTGGCTACAGAGACCGCCAGTATGCAAAAAACTGGTAGCTACCTAGTCCATCAGTACATACAAAGAAGCCCATTTACCTTCACAATTTTGTTCAACTGCTGACAAGCATGTGCAGTCTAAGGTGCAGCCTTCCTCTTAAAAACACCTTGCACTATTCTCCAAATGGGCTCCGTTCTTTGGAATCTTCCTCCAAGTTGCCCAATTTGGAGAAGGAGGCTTCCAAAGGATTGAAAATAGAACTGGTTCTCATGGTGCTTTAAAAGCATCCACAAAAATGTGCAATTTGGTGTGCCCTATAGCTTGTAAAGACCCCCCAGGGTACCCCCACAATCCTTATCCTGGGCTCCCTCTGCTGAACAACCAATAAGATCGCTTAACAACCACAACTCGGAATGCTGATATTGCGGTCATTGAACAAAGCAGTCACATGATGTCTTGTTTAATGACTGCTTTTCTTAACTGATATTCCAGTCCCAATTGTGATCATAAGTCGAGGAGTACTTATATTTATTTTGAATAGCCCTATAGATGAATAGCCAACTTATGAGTACAATTGGGACTGGAATCTTATTGAATGGAATAGTTGTTAAGCAAGATGACTGTGTGACTGCTTCCCTCAACAACTATAATCCCAGTTCTCCCAATTGTAGTTGTTAAGTGGACAGAACAAAAAAGCTACCTGCTGAAAGAAGACATCTAGCACACCTCTGTGTGTGTGGAAGGGAACTCGTGCACTGGGCTGGAGAAATGAGGCAGGGATCACAAAGGATCTTTGCACAAATACTTCTCCCCTCCATATATAGAAGAGAACTCATGTTGGGCGGGAAAGATGAGATGGGGATTGTCAGTATTCTGCTTCATCTCTCCAGCTCAGTGCACAACTTCCATGAGTGGAAGGGATATTATATGCTGGACTGGAAAGATCATGCAGGGATGGCAAAGACCTGAGCTTCAATTCTGCAGCCTGATTAAGGATTTGCACAACAACTCGTACCTTATACAGAGGGAAGTGTAAATCCTTTTGCAAGTGGCAGCAACTTCTAGCCTTCCATGCTAACTTCCCCATTAACTTTCTGAGGAAGCCAGCAGAGAAGATTGTAATGGCAATTGCATGATCATGGGACATTCAACAATCAGTTGTAAATGTGAGCAAGTTGACCAGCACCAGTATGATTATGTGACTGTGATGGGGGAGGGAGTAAGTTTTATGATAGCTGGAAATGCTTTAAGGGCCATAAGGTACCCTTTTGGAGCTGTAACATCAAATGGTCATTAAATGACTGATGGTGTGAAGAGGATTACCTATATTCCCAAAAAATTTTAAAAAAATTCTTACTCTCAAGTATACCATAGTTGAAGAGAAAACTGCTCTGCATATCCTAAAATTATCCACATACTTCATCTTCTTCCTCAGTTAATATTTTCACTGTTTTAGGTGCTGCCTGAAGCATCTGCTGAGTAAAAATCTACTTCTTGGATCATTTATCAGGCCTAAAAAATTCTGGAGTGCTTAGTTGTGCTTGCAGTTCAATAAGAATAACAAACCCTAAAAACATTTCTGATAAATTTCCCTCTCCTGTTTTAAACAGGTGCCCCTAAGAAGGAAGTATATTTCATGGCCATTATAGATATCCTTACACCTTATGACACAAAGAAAAAAGCAGCGCATGCTGCCAAAACTGTGAAACATGGGGTAAGAAAGAACTATTTCTTTGCATTGATCTCATTGTGCTTAGACAAGCATTACCACGTTTTATAATATATTTCAGAACTGAAGCCACAGTTGGTTGAGAGTGATCCAAAATTGTGAAAGGGAAGCAGGGGTGCAACCATTTAATATATAAATTGATGAAGCTGAGACTTCCATGGGGTTTTTATTTTTTTTCTTTCAGTATATTATACTTGTTTGAGATTATACTGTGCTTTTTATAATTCATATATCACTCAAAATGATAGCAATTTTTCAGGAATTCTGGTTGCAAAGGGCTTTAGAATTTGCAAAAAATAATGAAATGCTGGAATAGAAATTTTGTTACATAAAAGCCACATACAGTAAGCTACATCACATTTTTCACCTTCTAATCATTTTCGTTGTTGTTTTCTAGTCATTTTGCAGCTTCCAAATAAATACATCAGGAATATTTTAATGTGACCACACCAAAGATACATTTTTATATGATTTTTCTGTTGCTGCTGTTCTGTCTTTTGTTTCTGTCTATACTTCAGTCCTTTACACACACACTCTTGCAAGATATGTCCTTTCAATGAATCTCTACATGACTCACTTCTTAAATAACCTTGTCTAGTTCAGCTCTGCCCATCAGGGTCTCATCATCCAAAGCCATAGCAGTGATGGCGAACCTTTTAGAGACCGAGTGCCCAAACTGCAACCCAAAACCCATTTATGCATCGTTGGGTGCCGGGTGGGTGTGGCCATTAGGTGGGTGTGGCCCATTGGGTGGGCGTGGCTACGGTGGTAGACTGGGTGGAACTAAAAAGTTCAATCAATTCCAACGTTGCAAGATCTTTTTTTTCCTGCAAGAAGTTGGAATTGACTGATTGATTGAACCTTTTTTTTTTTTGCACATGGCAGTGGAGGCCTAAAACGAAAAGGTTTTATAAAACTCAGCTGAAGGCCTAGGACTGGGGTGACGGCGCGCGTGCCCACAGAGAGGGCTCTGAGTGCCGCCTCTGGCACCCGTGCCATAGGTTCGCCACATACAGTACCACTGTATGTAACCACTGCCATAGGTTACAGAATGCTAAATGAGGGCCAGTATGAAATCAATGCAGAAAATCTTTGCAACACTCAGAAGCTAGAGCTGAGGCTGTTAGGATAACAATGTCTCCTTCTTCCAGTCCAATATACCTTTTCAAATGGGGATGATCCAGTGCCTTTCTGCTCAGTTTTTCTTTCTTTTTTTCTTTTCACCTACCTTAGCAATATTTTTAAGAGGGCTCTTGGTTTCCTGATAATTTATTCCCAATAAAATGCTAATTCCAGTGTTTTTTTCCTGGGCTGTCTTCTAGCCTCAGCCCTTCATTCTAATTGAACATTGTAACAACATACTTTTGTGCAGGTGATGAAGTCACTGTTGGGGAGGCAGTCTTATTCTTTCCATAATCCTAAGGTTAGGCTGCATCATCTTTCAGGCAAGTGCCTTTGTTCCTCTGCCTGCACAAAAAGAATGAGAAAGAGGATGTAACCACATTTTTCTGGGGACTATATAAGTGCCTGTTCAAGCTGTTCTGCCTCTCTGCTGCAGGTGATTATTTAGCTGTCTCTAAACTGAGCGGAAACACAAGAAGTTAGCTTTGCCCCTTGGAACATTCAAACAGAACTGGGACTGGAGAGCTAGTATAGTCAGAAGATGTTTGAAACATCATCAGCTGAACAATTTTTCTTCATAAATGTCCATGGATAATATGTAGTTTGTAAGACATTTTCTACTAAAGATTCTGAAGAGAGTGAATCAATATAGTGCCATTTGCTACCTCTCTGAGTTTTAAAAACTTGGGGCAACCTCTTTAAAGGAATGACTGATGCCACTTTTTATGCTTGAATGAAATTATATGTGCTTTAAGTTCTCTATTTTGTTTTCCAGGCTGGAGCAGAAATTTCCACTGTCAATCCCGAGCAGTATTCAAAACGCTTCAATGAATTTATGTCCAATATTCTGACATAGTTGTCTTCCCATTATTGGCAGAAAAGGAGGGAGAAGAATAGTAGAGGGTGGGGGGTAGTATTTCCAGTGCTACAGGAATGCAGTCTGCTGGGCATGATATTCTGTGAGTGTGTGATGACAGCCTGACCTAGCAGAAAATTAACCTCTAGATACGGGCTTTCAAACCTGGTGGAAAAATGAGGTTATTACTCTCTTCTATTTTGGTTGCTACAATAAATATCCAAACATAAACCTGAGGAATAAGGTAGTGTTAAAATTTGCACTTTTCTTTGAAAAGCATCAGTCTCCAAATGGTCAGATGTTAATATGAACACATAACAGAAGATATAAATGATGGTTTCCTTCGATTGAACTATGGCTGTTCACTCAGAGCAAATTCTCTTTGTTACTTTCTCTAAGGATTGGACAAGAAATGACCTGTCATTTCAAGGACAAGAACTATTATAAAGATTAAGGAAAGCCATTTTAAGTTAGTTGAACAAAGACTTTTTACTTCTGGTCTTTTGATATCCCACTTTTCTGCATTGTTATTTCAAAAAAAGATGAGAATATGAGGGAATTAGATGGCTGCTTAAAGTTTTATGCAATCAAGGGAGGGAAAAAACCAGTTTCAGAAGAATCCACATTTCTAATAAAATATGATACAATTTCTTGGTGGAGATCATGAAGAGATGAGATAACTTCATGAAAATAATATCTTGATGAGCTACAGATATATTTGTACTGAGTTGGATTACAAATTGGATTAAGTTATCTCTAATATAATGATCTACCAGAGTTAAATTATTCAGATTCAATCTTTTATACTTTGATCTGGTTGTAAATGCTGTAAAATGATACTTTCCTGTTTAAAAAAAAAGGTACCACTTCTTTGTAACATCTTATGCTGTGAACCATTATATTAGAAATATTAGCTTTTGATCATTCCATTTGGGAAGAATCCACTCTCAATATGGGGAAAATGTAACAAATTGCAGTTTGTCCTGCTAATCCAGATTTTTGAAATAAGCTGCACTAGCTGTGTTTTCTTTTAAAAATCCAAATTGTTCTTGCCTCATTTGAATTACAACTTTTTCTTGTAATCTACAGACTGATGTTGGATTTCATAGCTGTACTTGTCAAAACTGAAGATTTTGAATTCACTAATTCCATTTTTTCAATATTCTTGTGAGGATGGGTTGTTTGGTTGTTTTTTTAAAAAGGGATTTGGCAAGTTATGAACCATCAACTTGCAATCAAGACACTTTGCTTACTCTTTCTCAATGTGTTTCTTACACATGCCTTTTTTATGTGATTGTTAGGGTGTTAATGTCCTGTGCCTTCTGCTTTGTGGATTCTGTCATTTTGGGAGTAAGGTAATTTTTTTTTCTTTGTTGCCCTCAAGTATGTGTATTCTTTCAGATGGGATTTTTCACATTTATAAACAAAAAATTCCACAACTCACACCGTGATTACAAAGTCATAAAATAGTTTGCAAGACTTAAAAATCATGGAATATACTGTACATACCATAAGATTTTGTTAAGGCATAAATGAAACTGTAAATTAGAGATTTCAAGGTTCTTTTTTCCACCTAGATTTCAAAGCAGATTTCTTTTATTAGAAGCCACAATGTTTAGCTGACTATATCATAAAATTTATGTGAATTTAAAAATTTATTTCAAAAGGCAGGCATGGATGAGGGTATGTTGATAGGTTGTAAAAAAATTTGAAAGTCAAAGGAAATGGTGCATTCAGAGTCCAATGTGAAATAGAATATAGGAATTTCATTTTCAGCTTTTGTTTAAATTTTACGAAGTAAATTTTGATTAAATTGATAAGCATTAGTCCAAAATGATCTGTTTTTAACATTTTTACAAATATTTGCCAATCTTAATCTATTTAGGAGTTAGTCAGTACACAGTTTAAAAAACCATGAAAAGATATGTTTCCTGGTTGATTCATTTATAAAAGACACTTGAAACAACCATAAAGGGCACTCAGACAGAAAGAGCAAACTCTCCATCTTTACCTACCCTTATTTTCTCTTCCCAGTCTTCTCTGGCCTTTACTTCTCTTGTCTGTATCCCACTATCTCCAGTTCCTCAATCCACTTCCATCAGAAGTTTTTCTCTTTAACACCTTTAACATCCTGTTCTTTTGTCTTCAGCTGCCTTCTTGCCCTGACAAAAGCCACCAAACCCACTAAGTTGCTACTGGTTCTATTCTGTGCTCATTGTTTAAAGTCCTCCTCTTTGATATGCATACTTTGTGCTTAGATGTTGAATTTGACTTTTACTCAGCTAGCTCTCAAGATTATTCGGACTATAACTCCCTGTTTGATTTTTGGTTTTTGTCATACATGCCATTAAATTGTTAGTCATTACTGTTAAAATGTTGCCATTGTTTATAACATATTCTCTTTGCCATCTCCCACTCCCATATTTGTGCCTTTTGTTATGCTGCCCTCTATCAGAAACTTTTAATCCTTTCATCTGAACCCATTTTAAAGTCCTATATAAGCAAAAGTATAACTGGCTTTTGCCTCTAGTCCCATTTCATCCTTTCTCTGTCCTCTTGACTTAATGTTCAGAGCTCTGCCCTCAGGTGGTGCTCAGATCCATATGACATTTGGATCTACTAACAATTGTGGATTTTTTTCCCCCTTGATTATTTGCTTAATAGAAAAATTGTTTAATGATTTGAAATCTTCAACAGATATAGAAAAAGCCCAGTGGGGAGATCAAGAGGGATGTCAGCAGCCTTTTTAATTCAGGTTTCCCCAAACCAAATGTCCTTGAGATGCTTTAGTTTACAACTCCACCAAACATGGGATTTGTAGACATTATACATCTGGAAAAACTGTTGGAAAAACTGTAGTTACTTACACCTACATACAGAGACTTAAAATTTACTCACTGGGAATTTCTACGTTAACATTCCTGTTTCTTGCCATTCACATCCAAAATTTTAAACAGAAAATGGAATTGCATGGAAATCTTTTGTTTCCACGAAACAGCATTAGGATTTTCCCCTTCTTATAAATATTAAATTAATCTGGCAGTGCAGTGAGAATGATGTACACAGTAAATTCTGATCAAGGCATTGCCTGTAATGCTACATGAGAGATGGGAGGAAAGGAACACACTTCATCTCTTCAGAGTATTGTTAGTTTTGACAGAGAAGAGCTGTGATTAGACCTAGAGCTAATCAGTCTTTTGCTCTTCCTTCCTTGTTCCTATCTCCTAGCCCAGGGCTTTTCAACCAGTGGTACGGGTACTACCTGTGGTACATTGGCACCTGGCAGGTGGTACGCGACCATCCTAGAAAAATGGTAGCGGGGGAGGGGAATGAGCTGAACCGGTAGCAGCACCGCATAAGCCTGAGCAAGAGACGGCTGGAGCTGCAAGGCTGTCAGGGCTCAGCGGAAGCGCCAGGATCAGTGCCGCTTTTCAGCTGATTGGCGCTTCGGGGCTGTCAGGGCTCAGTGGAAGCGCCAGGATCAGCGCCAGGCTCCAGCTGGAAAGCAGCACTGATCCTGGTGCTTCTGCTGAGTCCAGAAGAAGCACCGATCAGCTGGAATGTTGCAACATCTCCAGGGTCTTGTGATTTACATTCAGATGCTTGGCAACTGATTCATATTTATGACGGTCACAGTGTCCCAGGGTCATGTGAAGTGACCAAAACCTGCTGCAACCACCCAGCAGACGGGGGGAATAAAAACCAAACACCCCCCCACCCCACCCCCGCTGCTAATCCTCAACAGAAATGCTCACAACAATGGAAACCTCGGACAGGAGGAAGAGCACTGCCCGGCGGGCAGGCAGGTGTCTTGCTCGGCTATGGCTTGGGGGCACTTTTTTCAGGGCCATTGTAACTTCGAACAGCCACTAAGCGAACTGTTGTAAGTCGAGGACTACCGGTACTTTATCACTTTTTTCCTTTTTTTGGGTCATCAAGTTTTTGACACCTTGCTAGGTGACTGGTGGTACTCGGATGTTGCCATATCCTAAAAATGGTACAATGGGTGAAAAGGTTGAAAAGTCCTGTCCTAGGCTATATCGGTGATTCCTCCCTCCCCTGGTGTCCTTAAATACATCACTCTAAATATAGCTAGTACATTTTCCCCTGTAACTGCAAGGATAGCACTGGCAATGCAATTTTATTTCCAATTCAGTATGTCCAAGAGTCCTTTTAAAACTCATTGATTTGCTTTTCTACTCCAAATTTCATTCCTATAAATGACATGCTTATTGGCACAATTTATTCATCAGCCTAGTCTGAAAATTGTCCCCATTCTTCGTTGTGTTGCAGAAGAGCCCATGTTGGATCAGAAGCAGATGAATACTAAACTATTTGGAGATTTAGCAGTAATGTAAGGCCATTAGTGCATAGAACTATAGTCTTCTAGGTCAAGGACTTTGGAAATCAAACAGATTTCTTGTTCATCAATTCATGCAAGGGAATGTCAATAATCATTTTATTTCTTCCCAGCGTGCATCTTGTTACAGTTGCAATGACCCTAAGGTATAGCTAACACATTACAGAAAGGAAATATTTTTTCATTACATCTATGATTTATCTTTTTCAAAATATATATGTGGAGCAGACTTATAACTTATGAAAGTTAGTGACCTATTTGGAAAATTTGGGGGCTTATGTGTTAGTCTTGTTCCTAAGTATAGACTTACACATGTACATTCTCAGTTGGATTGTCTAGCCAAAGAATGTGTATTGTTGATGGTAGTCTTAGCTTTCTTCCATCTCCTGTTTTATGGAATGTACTTCTTCAACCCAGTGTCCTCCAGCTATATTGTAGCATATTTTCCGGCATTGTTCATTAGCATGCCTATTCTAGAGTGAGATGGAAATCATATTCTAGAAGAAGTTTTTGTTGTCATCTAAAAATATTATCTTCAGGAGGAATATATACTAATAGTTTCAGCTTTGGCTATCATGTTTGAGAAAGAAAAACTCAACTTTGTTCAATGTATAGTAACTTTCACTGCACTCATTGATGTATCCCAACAGTCTATATTGTTAGGTGGTTACCTCCAGGCAGTTAAGCTGGAATTTCCTGCACTGGAAAAAATGTTGAATGTGGGATTTTTAAGGGCTACACTGCAGTAGATGGTGACAATCATCTTTAATCATGTCTATTACGTTCATGTGTAGAGGAAGGGCTGGGGAGGGTATCATTAGAAAGCACTTGGGTGAAAATGGAATCTTATAAACATACATAAATATTGATGGCTAGCTATAAGACACATGGTCAAATAAAGTTTGCACTTCTTTATTATCTAAGTCTATGGTATAGAGCCTGATATGAGTGTGTGCAATGCCATCCCAGGCAATCTTTCAAAATTGTATTAATTGTGAAACCATATATTATTTAAAAAGATAAAGGAAACGAGACATTTCTGTTCCAGCTATTATCAATCTCTTCCTAATTGTATGCTTGAATACCATATGAATATATTCAACATATTAATATATAATCATATGGCATTTAAATGTATTATAAAAGTTCAAGCTGTTGCATAATGGCAAGCAGGCAATTAAATTTGAATCTCCAACTAATAAAAAAATAGGTTTTTCATACCTTTTCTAAAATAAAAATTTAAAGTCAATGTGCTTATAAAGTATGAGACACTGTTTTGAAATGCATGTATGTTAACAAGGTGTGAAGTCTCTCAGGTGGGTTGAACAAAATAAAAATGAAATTTTTGTGTAAAACTGCTTTCAGGGTTTTCTTTTTCTCCCCAAAATAAACAGTTACAAGAATGAAAAAGCTGTTTATTTATTTATTTATTTATTTATTTTATTACA